ATCAATCCCATTTACAACTGCTTCAAAAACAATAAAATACCTAGGAATAAATTTAACCAAAGAAGTAAAAAANGTAGCCCATGGCAACCCACTGCCACAGGGGCTGCAGCCTACGCCATTGCCGGCGACTCACGGCAGCCCAGCTCCAGGTTGAGCTGTTGTTCAGCGTCTTAGCTGTAGAGGGCAGTTGTCGCTGGCCCTCATATGTGGGATCTGGCGTCCCAAGCCAACTCTTAACCAATGCGCTACTCGGCCGGCCTGGTACATGGGAACTCTTAAAACTGCATGAGAATCTAAAACTCTTACTTTTTAAATCTCAAATTGAACACCTTAATGAAAAAGCACTGTTAGAAGTTCTTAAGAATTTATAAGTCTAAGGTGTGCTTAAATGTAATATATCCTTGCCTATCTACATCTGCTGTGAGTCACCAAGTACACGTTTTATTCCTTTGGTTCTGAGAAAGATAACAGCCAGTGCCAGCCTCCTAGGTATCTGCCTTCAAATCTAACCTGATGTTCTGAGTTAGGGTGAAGGAATACACAGACATGTCAAGGAAGGGGTGGGGTGGGAGTGGGGGAATCCAGTCTTATAAACATGGCACAAACAGTTAAAAAAAATTAAAGCATTAGTCAAGAAAAGAGGGAGAAGAGGAAGTAATTCAGGTGTGTTCATTAATGCTTAATACACACTCCTTACACTTCTACCGCTCTCTCAGGGCCGAAATCATTCTAGACCTAGTAGCACAATCTGATGATTCTGAGGCTGGAATATTAACAAAAATCTGCTTTAAAAGAAGGGAGGGAAATACAAAGGGAGGATAAAACCATCCTTCACAGCTTTAAGTTTCCAAATTTCTATTAAAAATAGATATGAAATAAATAGAGAAGAATTTAGATATGAGGGTAATTAAAATCATATCCTCAGTCCTTGAAAAAAAAAATCCAAGCTACCACACCATAACAAAACCTATCAAGTATTGTTAAATTATGAATCAGACCAATACCTATAAACCTACAGGAATAACTTTAAAAAGTGAGCCTCAATAGTTAGGCAAAATTGTCAACATGGGTACCATGGAATGGTCAGTACCCTTTCAGTATTTTTAAAGATACGTTGAGCAACCAGGTTAATAAAGTAATAAAAGGGCCCCATTTTATTGTGCACTGCTTAAAGTATCACCGTGGCAAAATACTGTTTTCATGTGCAAATCCCAGTACCTCAGCCTTGGCCAAAGAGTGGAGTCCAAAGGACTGAAAGATATTTCTACAGATAATGCCTACGAGTTCCTTTACTTCGGGGCACCTTCAATTTTCAAAGTTAAAAACGGAAGAATATCTATTAAACCAACAAAGATCATGTCTTAATCACCACTGCTTACTAACAGATAGAACTATCCCAATAAAGCTTTGAAAGCTCACTTTCAGCCATTCTACTTAATAAAGCCTCAGGAGTCAGAGCTGGCAACAGACTGTGCCTCTCATTTTCCACTTCTGTTACAGGGAATGACTTGTTCAGAGACTAACCCTCTTCTAAGAACAAAGAGAAAAGCTGACCAGAGAACTCATCAAATAGCAAACACCGAGAGGCAAAGATCTCAGATACAAAGGGAGAAATTAGTATGGCCATGACCATCTATGCTTTCAACCTCAAGGGATTTTCCAAGATGCAGGCAATAAACTAAGAGGCGAAGAAGCTGAGCACAGCTTTGGAGTCTTACAGGACTAAGAGGCAAAACTAGAGTTTAGGCTACACCAGAGAAGAGTGGTGCTGGTGGCTTTCAGAATAGCAGTGAACCACACATAAACAAACCAGTCCTCATGAAGCTGAACCCAAATTCAAATCAGCTCCCCATTCCTGGTGGGATGAAGGTGATCTGCCTCCACCTGATCTACCTGCCAGAAGTACAGTCAACTCTCTCCAGAGAAACCAAAAATAATACAATCCAGACCCTCAAAATATCTCTATAGTTTAATCACAAACAATAACCAGTAATCAATCAAAAATACGAGGCATCAGACTTCCGGTAAGATGGCGGAATAGACAGCCGCTGAGCCAACTGCCTTCCAGGATCACACCAAAATTACAAATAATTTATACAACATTCAACCTCAGAAGTCCCCTGAACACTAGATGAACAGAACCTCTAAATGAAGGACTAAAAGAGGAGGCCACGTCGAGTCTGGTAGGAGGTGCGGAGGCAAGAGAGGGGGAACCCCGTGAGGGACACCTCAGCGGTGGGGAGGCTTCTCTGGTTGGCAGAGCGACCCTCTGGCCCCACACAGAGCTCGCCAGCCCAGAGTTACTTTTCCGGGAAGAGGAGTTCCAGAATCACTGGCAATAGAAATTAGTGAGGACTCTTTTTGCTTGGCAGTCTTGAGAAATAAGAACAAAGTGGGAGGTGTCACGCTACCCAACATCAAATCATACTACAAGGCTAAAGCAATCAAAACTATGGTACTGGCATAAAAACAGACACACAGACCAATGGAACAGAATAGAGAACCCAGAAATAAACCCATCCATACATGGTTACTTAATCTATGACAATGGAAGCAAGAATTTACATTGGAGTAAAGATAGTCTATTTAATAAATGGTGCTAGGAAAATTGGACTGACACAAACAAGAAAATGAAAGTGGGCCACCTACTTACACCATATAGGAGAACAAATTCAAAATGGATTAAAGACTTAAATGTAAGACCTGAAACCATAAAACTCCTAGAAGGAAACATAGAAAGTAAATTTTCAGACATCACCCTCAGTAATATTTTTACTCATATATCCCCTCGGGCAAGGGAAATAAAAGAAAAATAACATATAGGATTACATCAAACTTAAAAAGTTTTTTCACAGCAATGGAATCATCAATAAAACAAAAAGGCAGCCTACTGAATGGGAGAAGATATTTGCCAATGATATATCTGATAAGGGGTTAATATCCAAAATTTATAAAACTCATTCAACACCAAAAAAACAAACCCAATTAAAAAATGGGCAGAGGATATGAAGAGGGATTTCTCTAAAGAGGACATACAGATGGCCAAAAGACATATGAAAAAATGTTTGACCTCACTAATCATTAGAGAAATGCAAAAAAAACCCACAATGAGATATCACCTCACTCCGATCAGAATGGCTCTCATCAATAAATCAACAAACAAGTGCTGGAGAGGTTGTGGAGAAAAGGGAACACTGGTGCACCGTTCGTGGGACTGCAGATTGGTGCAGCCATTATGGAAATCAGTATGGAGGTATCTCAAAAAACTGGAAATGGAACTACCGTATGATCCAGCAATTCCACTCTTGGGTATCTATCCAGAGAAACCCAAGACACTAATTCGAAAAAATATTTGCACCCGTATGTTCATTGCAGCGCTATTTACAACAGCCAAGACTTGGAAACAACCGAAATGCCCATCGGTAGACGACTGGATTAAAAAACTGTGGTACATTTATACAATGGAGTATTGCTCCGCTATGAAGAAGAATGAAATCGTACCATTTGCAACGATGTGAATGGACCTAGAGACTATTATGTTAAGTGAAATAAGTCAGTCGGAGAAAGACAAATACTATATGATCTCACTTATATGTGGAATTGAAAAAACTGAATGGACGAGCAAAGTAAACAGAAATAGTCTCAGAGATATAGAGGAAAAACTGATGGCTGCTAGTTGGGAGGGGGGTGGGGATGAGGGAGAAGGGGAAGGGATTAGACAGCATAAATAGGTAACTACAATATTGCCACAGGGACATGAAAGAGAGTTCGGGGAATATAATTAATAATGTAAATATTTTGTAGGGTGTCAGATGGTCACGTCTTATTAGGAGACCACTTCATGGATGGGATAGAGGCTTGATCACTGCACTGTACACCTGAAGCTGATGTTGTATAATATTGTATGTCAACTATAATTGAATATATATATAGTCACGAGATATGCAGTATAGTGTGGGAGTGGAGTCAATGGAACTGTAATAGATATGTATGATATGGGGAGGAGTGGGGCGGTGGAATGGGGGAGAGGGGTTGTCACTTTGAGGGGTAGAAAGTATAATTATTGCACTGTGTTGTACACCTGAAACTAACTAAAAAAAGAAAAAAAAAATGCCAGGCATATCAGCAGACAAGACCAGAAAACAATGGAGTGACACAGCTGAATTATTGGGAAAAAAAAAAAAAGTATAGCCAATATTAGACCCAGCAAAAATACCCTTCAAAATTGAAGGCCCAATTAAGAGATATCAGAAAACATTTACCAGCTCATCCATTTCCTTATTGTGTAATCTTGGGCAAATTTCTTAATTGTTCCCTGTCACAATTTTGTGATCTTTACAAAAGAGGTAATAGTAACCCACCCCCACCCACGTCTATAGAATACTATATGTATTAAATGATATAATACATAAATGCAAAAAAACAAAAAACAAAAAACAAATCCAAAACCACCATTATTATCCCAGGAATATGTCCTTCCTAAAAGATGAGAAAGAGTACAAGCACAAAAGCTTGTCTACACAAAAACATTGATCACAGCACTGAAAATAAAAAGAACCTAAATATCATACTACATCTAATACTTGAATTGCCATGTGGCCTTTCAGATGGTGATATGGATATATATTTACTAATATAGAAATACATTTTCAGCTTAGTGCATGAGAAAAAGGCAAGTTACAGAATAATTATGAAAGACATGATCCCATTTATGTATGAGATAAATATCGCGCGCTCTCTCTCTCTCTCTCTCTCTCTCTCTCTCTCTCTCTCTATATATATATATATATATATGTATGTATGTATATGCACAAAAGCTTCTAATACGGTCTTTCATTCACTTTTTAAACTCTCAAGCTTACTTGATGACTCAAAGAAGCACTAACCATTCGCATATCAACCAGTTTTAAATATAGGCCTTAAGAAATGTATAATCTTATAAATATTAAAAACAGACCTATAGAATTACTAACATTCAGTTCACATATTTTCAAACTTACATCTTTATTCTTGGTAACAACATTGCTGAATAATGATCTATCGATGACACCGTTATTTCTCTTCTGGCTTAAACGAAGACCAAAGAGAGTTCGAACTTCATTCTCATCTGGAGTGTAAGACGGGTCCATCTAAAATACAAATATAAAGAGTTAAAAGTACTATATCTACATCCTTCAAGAATGTTCATTTAATTTATATAAAAAAGATTTCTTTGTAAGCAGGTTAAATGCATTTTTTTCTAATTTAAGCATATGTAAGATCATTTCAGTATGGGTATAAAAGAATGGCCAAGCACCAATATTTTGCTCCAAAAAAATTTTATAGGTTTTACAACCCTATTGGGTATTACAGGTTTTACAATTTTTATATAACACATTAAAACCAATGATTCCGGTGAGCACATTTTTGGTTTGTTAACTAAAAGCACTATCTATAAAATCCTTTTGAAAGATTAGTGGATAAAACAAATTTGCTAATAAACCATCAGTGGCACAAAAATTAAATTCTAATTTCCGTTTCTAAAAATCTATTCTAAAATAACTAACACTTGAATTATAAGTTAAAAAGAAGTTAAAAGGGAAAAAACAGGCCCTTGTTTCTGTTGTCTTTGCTACTTGATGTGGAATATGTCCTTTATTGCTATCTTCCTCTCCCAGGTTTTGATCTAAAAATATATTAAAATGTGAGAATAACCTGCATAAGACCAGGTTATTTTCTAAAATTGACAGTATTTTTTCACTTATCCTTTGTATATGTTAAGTCAAAGAACTTACAAAGCACTAATATCTATACACAACAAATCCTTGTGCTAATTCTGCTTAATTCTCATTTTCCTTAATTCTAAAATGTTCCTTTTTCCTTTGTATTATAAAATTTCTAAAATTGGGATGTGTCCTCCAATTATTAGCTGATGTCAAAAGGAACTTGTCATTAGCCAGGTAGAGGAATTCAATTGTTCCCTATTGCAATTATGTGTCCATATACAAACTTAGTCAAGTCTCAAATAAAGTACTGAGGGAGTTCCAGCAGTCTTCACACCTTTAAATATGATACTGTCAGGGGCTGAAGAGGTCATGATGATGAGCTCAGGGTTTGGAAAACATTCTCCACAACACTGCTACACGTAACTGCTAATAGCCAGATGCACTTAATAATCTTAACAAAAAAAAAACACAATTAAGAAACTGAATAATATAGTAGCAGCTAACAGAATGGTTGAACTTGCTGTCAAGTAGCTTTAAAAAAAAAAGTATGTATATTTAAAGTGATTTTTTTTTCCTTCTTTCCTTAAAGAGGAAACATGGAACATATGGTGAACCATACAATTATTGGCATCTTACAATGAAGAATATTTAATAACTTCCATTAGACAGAGGAGGGGTTCTAAAGATTTTTGACATCAATTCTTACTGAAAAACAGCATTATGAATTTTTTACTTTCAATTCAAATATCTCTTTGCTTTATCATTGTACAATCTAAGGCTATGGGCTAGTTTCCGTAATATATAAGAGCTTGTAAAAATCAGTAAGGAAAAAAATCTCAACAACCTATTAGAAAAATAAGCAGAGTATGGGTAGATACTTCATAAAAAGGAAGTAAAAACACCCTTCAGTGTGAAAAGATGTTCACCCCAAACATAATGAGAAAACTGCAATGAGATGTCATTTTCATCTACCTTACTGCTAAGATGAAAAATTTTAAGAACACAGTGCTGGCAATGGTGTTAGGAAATAGGCACCCTTACACATTACCATTAAGACATAAAATTTATTGTACAACCTCTAAGAGGAACAGCATCTATCAAAATGACAAATACACAGAACCTGTAGCCCCACTGTAATTTCACTGCTAGGACTCTTTCCCCTGAGTTATTAACTTCATAGATTGTGTAGTAGCTAAAGACTGGTGACTGTCTAGATAAAATACACAGATATGGGACAAACTTCCAAGATGGTGAAGCAATGTGCAGTGTGTCAATGAGGGGGAAAAAAAAGAAAAAGAAATGCAAACATTTGCTTACCATGTATAGACGATTTCAGGAAAGACAAGAAATTTAAACTATTTGGTACTTCTAAAGAAAGGTAACAGAATGCAGAAGGGAAGGATGGGAGACTTTTCTTCAAATGGCTTCTAATATCTTTTGAATAGAGAATCATGTAAATATACTAATTATTTATAAAATTAAAAAATTTAATATAAGAGTAAGGAAGCTACCTTCATCTTAAACCCAAAAATTAATAGTAAAATAAATAAATAAATAAAAATTTGCAGGATTAAGGATAAAGAAACTGCAGAAAAGAAGGATACATGAGGAGTTCCGGTAAGATGGCAGAACAGACGGACGCTGTGTCAACTGCCTCCCAGGATCGCACCAAAATTACAAATAATATACAACATTCAACCTCAGAAGTCTCCTGAACACTAAATGAACAGAACCTCTAAACGAAGGGCTTAGAGGCCAGGTCGAGTCTGGTAGGAGGGGCGGACACTAGAGAGGGCGATCCCAGTGAGGGACACCTCAGTGGTGGGGAGGCTTCCCCGGTTGGGGGAGAGACCCTCCCGTCCCACACCGCGCTCACCAGCCCAGAACTCCTATAAGGCTAACAGCTGACTTTTCTACAGAAACTCTGCAGTCCAGGAGGGAATGGCAGGAAATATTCAAAATGATGCAAAACAAAGGCCTACAAACAAGTTTGCTCTACCCAGCAAGATTATCATTTAAAATTGGAGAGATAAAGAGTTTCTCAGAAAAGAATAAACTTAAGGAATTCATGATCACCAAGCCAGCATTGCAGGAAATGTTAAAAGGGCTTTTTTAACAGAAGAAAGGGGAAAACAAGCTAACCCAGGAAGATCAGAAATACAAATAACAAAAAGGCAACAAATATGCACCTATCAATAATCACTAAATGTGAATGGGCTAAATGCTCCAATCAAAAGACATAGAGTGGCTGAGTGGATAAGAAAACAGGACACATGCATATGCTGTTTACAAGAGACGCATCTCAGGCCAAAAGACACACACAGATTGAAAGTAAAGGGATGGAATAAGACATTTCATGCAAATGGAAATGAGAAAAACCTGGAATAGCAATACTTACTTTGAACAAAATAGACTTTAAAAGGAAGGCTACAATAAAAGACAATGAAGGGCACTACATAATAATAAAGGGGTCGATACAACAAGAGGACATAACCCTAGTAATCATCTATGGACCCAACATATGAGCTCCTAAATATATAAAACAGTTTATGATTGACATAAAGTCGAAGATCAAAAGTAGCACTACTGTAGTAGGGGACTTCAACACCCCGTTGTCATCAATGGACAGATCCTCCAGAGAGAAAATCAACATGGAAACAGTGGCCTTAAATGACACTTTAGACCAGCTGGATTTAATCGATATTTTTAGAGCATTTCACCCCAAAGCAACAGAATATACATTCTTCTCAAGTGCACATGGAACATTTTCCACGATAGACCACACGTTAGGCCACAAAACAAGTCTCAATAAATTTAAGAAGATTAAAATCATATCAAGCTAGTCTTCTCCAGCCACAATGCTATGAAACTAGAAATCAATTATCAGAAGAAACCTGGAAAGCACACAAATACATGGAGGCTGAATAACATGTCACTGAATAATAAATGGGTCAACAATGAGATCAAGGAAGAAATCAAAAGATACCTCGGGACAAACAAAAATGAAAACACCACGACCCAAAATCTCTGGGATGCAGCGAAAGCAGTCCTAAGAGGGAAATTCAAAGCAATGCAGGCCTATCTAAAGAAGCAAGAGTGGACGGCAGATTGGGGGAGGAGGGTTGTCAGTTTGAGGGGTAAAAAGTATAACTATGCCACTATGTTGTACACCTGAAACTAATTTAAAAAAATTAAATTAAGTTAAAAAAAAAAACAAAGAAACAAGAAAAATCTCAAATCAACAGACTATCTTTACACCTAAGGGAACTGGAAAAAGAACAGCAAAACAAACCCAAAGGCTGTATACAAGGAAGGAAATAATAAAGACCAGAGCAGAAATAAATGAAATAAAGACCAAAAAAGAAGTTC